GTTTGTTTGTTTGTTTTTGGTTTTTTTTCAGATTTTTTGCTCCATTAAAAAGATGCAGAAGTCAGAATGAGATTAAATGTGATGCAGAACAGGGAGGGGGATAGACAGACCGTTTGCTTTTTGCCCGGCACATCTACCCTTTTTATTGGCATTTGCACATTAAAAATAAAGATAAAAAATGAAGTAATGGGGCTGCAAAAGCAAAGGGCTGCCCAGGTTGCAGTGACAGCAAAGGAAGGCTCTAGGATTGCATGCAGCTCTGGTAAATGTATTTTTTTTCCTATGTACATTTTTTCCTAGGGCTGACTGCAAAGCAGGGAGCTGGGGGATTTCTCTGCACAAAAGGAGATTAAACGGTCTGAAAGCCTGCAGGGACTCACCCAGGGAACAAATATCTACATGTCCTGGAAGGACGACCCGAGCTCCACGAGCTGTTTGCCCAGGTGTGAACCGAGTATTGTTCCCACCAAACAATATCCCCCGCTGGCTCCGAGGTCGTTCAGGTCCTGGCTCAGCCCAAGCAAGGGGAAACATCATATAAAGGCAGTGGGGACGTAAAGTCGGGATGCTCGGACCTTGGAGCACAACCCTGGTAAGGGACCTTCTTTTGGGGTTTTATTTTGGGGTTTTTTGCTACAACGCATCTTCATCCTGCTGCTCTTTGCATCATTCTGATGCACCCTCTAAGTACCTTGAGGAAGAGCTTCTGCTTAATATTCCCATTTTAAAACTCACAAGTTTTCTCTTTTTTTATTTTTATTTTTTACTGTCAGCACCAAATTTAATTTTTTGAGTGAGAAAAAGAGCAGAAATGGCCATTTAATTAAGCCCAGCTAGCTCAGTCGGTAGAGCATGAGACTCTTAATCTCAGGGTCGTGGGTTCGAGCCCCACGTTGGGCGCCTGCATTCTGAGTTTTATTTTACATTTATCCAAATTTATTTTTCTGTAGTATGGAAAACCACCGTTGCTATCTCTAAGCAAGAGAATTATCTTAAGAAATAAAAATGTGATTTTTTTTTGCTTGTAAAACCAATTTTATTTTGCCAGGAAGATTTTTTTTTTCCCCCAGATTCAAGAATAAGCAAGGGATTTATTTCTCAACAGGTGCAAATAGTTCAAGGTGGGAAAGGCAGTGAACAAATCGGAGGTGTGTGTGGGAGGAAATTAGATATTAACCAAGCTGCAACATGAATTAGGGGACAGCTGGGGAATCTGATGCAGAAAAGTTGTCCTGTGCAGTAATTTTTCTCCCCAAATAAAGTCCTCCAGCAAAATTCATTGCATTGTTATTTATATATAGATTTATATTTTTATATTCTTGATATATTAAAATTATATATTTTATATCTTATGCATATTTATATTATTATAATATATATATTTATGTATCTTTTAGATTTTCAGGACTGGAAATGTGTTATCTGATCCCTGCAGTGGTATTTTCCTGCTTAGCACAGAAAACAAGTTTTTTGGGCTCTCTTAGGCAGATATGGGTTGTCAATAATCTTTTTTTTTTTTTAACTATGGTGATGTCTTATCTCACCTTGAAGAAAAGATTTGCATGAGAAAACTGGCTGAAAGTTTTCTCCCCAGGCACAGCAATTTAATTGGAAATAGGTTTCCAATTAAAAGGCTAAAAAAAAAAAGGTGTTTAGAACAGAAAATGCATTAGAAATATATTAAGGATTTGTCTGATGCTGCCTTGAAAACAAGGCTATTAAAGTAATGGAGCAGAAAGGTGGAATTGCCTGTATTTCAGGATTTTTAGGTGTCGGGAGATTTTTAATAATGTACTTCAAATTTCTCTACTTTTTTGCCCCAGAAGGGACATCACAAACACCTGTACCTTGTTTTTTGATCTCCTTTGCCCTTACTAAAGGGCTGATCACCCATGACCATGAAGGTGCTTTTCGTGGGGCTGACCCTTGTCCTATGCATCGGAGTGGGTAAGTGGAGGGCTGCAGTGAAATGGGATTTAATTGGGGCAGGAGAAGATCTGGTGATGGTTGGAGGCATCTTGATGAGCTCTTGGTGCCTGTAATGTTTTTTTCCGCATGCATTGGATGTCCTCAGGTCTGAATCTATGATCTCTCTTGAATCATCCCACTATAAAAATGGTTTTCTTTCCACTCCCCTCCCAGTTATTGAAAAGAGATCTCCTCTGGGCCAGGATCTTCAGCTGTAGGTAGCTGGATCCTGGGCGAGATCTGCACCTGCTTTGCCCTGGAGAGCTCTTGGGATGGTTTTATTTTATATTATTATATTTCAGCCATTTGAATCCAACCAATAACCCATGTCCAAATTCATTCTCCATGGGTCTGTGGTTTGATTTGCTCACATCTGGCTGGAAAAGTCTAAATTGGGTTGAGTGTCCATAGGCACCATCTGCCTCTCCTACACGAGGACTCTCCTTAGTGGGTCTGGAAGCAAAAGTGAGGCTTGGACCCTTCCCTGGGGGGCTCTAAACCATCTCTGGGGTCACCACTATCTTGTCCTAGGGCCACTTGGAGCAAAGCTCTCCGTGGTCCTACAGAATTGGTTCATTGCTCCTTGTGTCTTCTCCATCCACCACAGTTGAGGCTCTTCAGTGCAAAGTCTGCAAGTACAAGCTCCCCTTACTCGGATGCTTCCGTGGGGCAAACGAAACCACCTGTGAGCGGAGAGAGAAGTGTGCCATCATTAAAACCTCCCTAGGTAAGTAGGGAGGGTCAAAATTGCGAATTTTTGGTTCAGAGGGGGGTCGTCCTTGTGTATCTGTATGATTTGGAGAAAGAAGGAGGATGTAATACGGAGACAGATGTGGGAAAGGGTGAAAGCAAAGGGTCAAATACCTTAGTGGAGATTGTCTTATGTTTGTTTTTAAAATAGCCTTTTTTAGGTGAAGGGGATGATCTCCCACAGAACCAAGTGAGTTTTATGTGTTGTCTTATTTATTTTTTTCTCCTAATTAATCCAAGCAAGGTGACCATTTGGGTGTGCTGTTTAAGGGGCTCATTTCCCACCTGGCAAGAAGTTCACCACCAATTTTTTTTCCTTCATTTAATGCTGGTTTCTAACCCCAGCCCCTCTCTCCAGGGAAGGTGACCCTCTACTACCAGCAAGGCTGCACCTCCGCGATGAACTGCGGCCGGGAGCGGGCGGCCGATGTCGAATCCCGCCTGACATCCCACTACTCCTGCTGCGAGACCGACCTCTGCAACGAGGAGTGGGATGAGGACCCCACAGACTAACCCCCAGTGTGGTCAGGATGAGGTCTACCAGCCCTTTCGATGCTCTACGTCCTCGATTTCATCCTGAGCAAATATTGCCCTAAATCGGGACGGTTGGACGCGGTCTGTCTGCCTGCAGGGCTTCCCGGCGTGTCTGGCCTGATTCTGTTTCAGCTCTAGCAATAAACCTGCGGGCCTATAATTGGCAGCCGAATTTGGCTCGTGTGCATGTTTTCCTTCTCCAGACGTTCCTATTAACAGCCCTTCAGCCTCAGCATTCCTGGTGGTCCCGAACATAATCCTGGCACTAAAACCCCAAGGGCAGGCCAAGGTGCTTTCCCCTGCTTGCATCCCATTTCTCCTAGCTGGGAATTTCCCTTTGAAGCTTTATCTAGCACCGACTTTTTGCAAACGAGAGCATCAGGGAGCTGCTGGATGCCGAGAGGGAATAGAGGACACGTACACCTGATAGACGCAGGTATTTATTTCACCCCAAATTCCTTCATTTGTCAAGAGAGGTTGAGTCATCCACCGAATATAGACAGGTAAAAAGACCTCAGGAGGCACCAAAATCCTGCTGTTGACTTCAGATGAAATCTAAAGGGGTGGCTGGAGCTCCTCTGGACACTTACAGTCCCTGAGCACAGCCAAAGACCCTGAAGAGGAGAGGATAATGCATGATGGGCAGTATTAAAATAAATGGCTTTCTTTTTTTAGCCTTATCCCCACCTCTGAGGGCAAAAATTTTATGGTGGGAGGGGAAAACGTAATTATAGTGTGGGGTTCGTGTAACAGTGGAGATCCAGCTGTTATCACTGCCCTAGAAAAATAAGTATTTGGGACTTTTTCTCTCTTTTTGCAGCACAAGGGACAGGTAAAAGGGCAAAGTTTTGTTTTTTTTTTTATTTATTTTTTTTTCTCCTGATGCATTGGTAACTGGGAATCTCAATGTCGTGAGCAGTCATTTAGCTAAGTAGTAGATCATTAAAAAATAAATGGGGATAAAATCATGGCCACTGCACTGGGCAGTAGAGGAAAAGGATGCTCCTTTTGATTATTATCCCCCTGAGGAGTTTGTTTTGTAGCTGGCTGCAGAGATTTTGGCATGGCTTGGTGTTGTAGGGTCTTTTTCCTTGCGTGGATACAGGTGTCCTGCTTCTGGAGCCAGTTTCAACTTCCAATCTATTTCTGGAATGAGAAGTTTGGAGGAAACCCCTTCCAGCCTTGGGACCGAGAGCAAGTCTCTGTCCTTCCAGCCTTGTTGCTGGCTGGTGGCTGGCTCCAGTTTTGGGGTGAGAAAGGGCAACTTCAGTGCACAGCGGTGATTGCTCACACGTGTCCTACCTGCAAGCATGGGCATGAGAGCTTCAATGTTCTTGGACCCACCTAACATAGGATGAAACTTCAGGATGCTCAATTTGGTACCAATAAAAAAAAAAATGCAAGAAAACATATCAGGGTTGAATTTTCCTTCCCTTACTCAATCCCTGCTGTTTGGGATGCCCAAATCTCTCTTTATCCTAAGCAATCCACCCATGGAGGGTAGAGGTGTCCTGCTGGAGATGTTTCTGCCCTTTTTTGCAAATATGAGCTGAATTATTAAATGAAAGGAAGATATGAAAAATCTCACTTTTTCCTGACTCCTTGCTTCTCTGGGCATCAGAGAGGGTTAAGTAGGGTGCAGAGCCCCTCTGGAGAGGGTTTGGGTTTGGAGACAGGTGGAGGGAGGTGCTGGAAACGTGATCCTGGCTCTGGGCAGGGAAAAACGCTTTGGCACGGAGGGGAAGAGCAGAGCTGGGGAGGAGGAGGAGGAGGAGGGAAGAAGAGCGGTGGGTGCCCAGGATAGCTGCAAATGGGGGAGGGGAAGGAATGGTAAGTGAGACGGGGGATGACAGGGGACAAACGGGGCAACCAAGGGCTGGCAAGGGGCAGGAGCTGAGAGGCGTTGAAATCTCCGTGGCATCCAGGGCTTGGGCTGGTTTCCTCCATCGCAGTGGCCAGCAGTGGTCCCACGCTGCCTCCCGCTGTGCCCCTGGGTGCTGGGACCCCTTGGGCTCCCTGCTAAGACCCTCCTGATGCAAAAGGCTGGGAGATTTGGGAGGACACCCCTTTCCTACACCTCTGCTGCGAGGTATGTGGGGGCTCACATGGGATTTGGGCTCAGTGGGATGTTTGTCTGTCTGCTTTTCCTGTTCCCAACAGGCTGCCTTTTTGTTTTTTGTTTTTTTCTTCCATCAAGGTGTCTCACTATTTTTCCTTTTCTTTTTCCTTCTCTTCCTCTTTTCTCTTCCTCTCCTCCTTTTGCAGCTCCACAGTGTGGATTGCTCAGCAGCTCATGGGTCCGCCACCTCTTCCTTTCCGTAACCTTATGATGAAAAATATTTATGTGGCACAGGAAAAAAAAAAAATCAATACAGTTTTATGTTTGATAATAGATCAGCAGAAATGCTAGCTGGAAGAGAAAGCAATTTCCAGCCCATAGGGAGTAGTGCGGGTATGAATAAAAATCGATGTATGTGAGAATTAAAAAAAAAAAACACTTACATAGGTGGAAATCCCTTTCCCTTAGGGAACTGTGTACATAATTTGGTATATATTGCATCTCTAGGGATGCATATGTGTGTACATATATATATATATATGCACCCATATATATATACAAGCTTGTGTGTGAATATATACATATAAATATATATGTATTCTGCCGTTCTCCTGAGTCATTTGTTGTGTGTTATTTCTGATCACAAACTAACATGGGTCATAACAAGCATGGGTACGTAGATTTTATTTTCCAAGAAGAAGTGGGATTCTTTACCAAAACGCCAAGAAAGCCCAGCACAGAGTTTAAACCAACCTGGAAAAGTTCATTTCTAGTTCCAAACGAGTAAGTCTGGGATAGAATAAATGCAAAACTCAGCTCCTGCTTTGCAGATGTCACCTGATGCTGGGAAATGCATTTTCCGTAAAAGCTTTAACACAGCAAAAAAAGCTCAAATGGAGGCTGGATGTCTCTTATCTGAGGTTTTCCCCAACTGTAAAGGCATCAGGATCGATTCCATCCCTGCTATAAATCAGAAACCCTTTCCCAGACCTCTGGCATCAGGGCAAGATTTATTTTGCTAACGTAATGCCTGGGGTTGGGGTTTGTTTCCCCCTGGAAACAAACACATCTCCAAGGGAGGAATCTCAGCTTGGAGATGTCAGCTCAGCTGGCTTGTATGGATGGGATCACTTGACCTGTTTTCATGTCCTCATTAGGAAAAGATGAATCACCCCCCCAGAAGTGCCTACTTCTCTGTGTTTTTGTTAATGTGAACCCAAATAACAAGATTTTGTTAACCTTTTACCTCCCTTCTCCCTAACAAGAGCTTTGGTGAGCTGCTTGTGTGGAGACAGCCGTAATATGGACAAATCCCAGCCTGCAAACCCACCCAGGAAAGGCCCTATATAATCATTCCCCATTAATATAAGGCTTTGAAAGTTGCACCTGGGATTACCAGAAGGCAAAAAAAGTGTTTTTGAGTTGCAGGATCCCCCATCCAGAGCTTAATCTTTATAGATTTAGGAAACTTATTGCCGGATTTTGATACAGACCTTGCATCTGAGTGCATTCCCTTTCTCCTGTTGCTTTTTATGGCCCCTGTTGAGCCCTGGAGCTCAACCAAGTCATCTGAAGCACTAGAGGGTGAGACGGGGCTCTAACAAGAGCTCAGATGGTTACCTGGATCGGGGCCTAGAGCAGCTGCTAAACACCCACCTCGGGACTCAGATCTTGCCTTTTGCACCGGCTCGGCCAAAAGGCAACAAGATCTGACGTCGGGATCTGTGTCCTGAACAGTTTCCCTTTTCCTGGAGGGGAAACGAAACAACAAAAACACACGTAGGGAGCTCAGATGTGATGGTTTTTTGGAGGAGCAGAGAGCGGGGCTGTCTTCTTGCTGTGTTTTTTCTTTCATTGTGACCTAAAGCTGAGGTCTTCGTTACCGGTTTAAAGAAACCGGACACTGCAGAAGTGACCTCGGGCAGCGGGCTCGTTCCTGGAAAAGGAACGCCCACTCGGGGCCGGGTGCCAAGCATTCATGCTCTGCGTCCAACCCCGCTGAAATCGGTCTTTGCCCGCAGGAGAGAGGCCATGGCGGCGATGTTCCTGCCCGGCAATCTCCAGGACGAAGCCACTTGCTCGTCTGCCTGGAGTTCTTCAAAGACCCCGTGTCCATCGAGTGCGGGCACAACTTCTGCCGGGCGTGCATCATCAAGAGCTGGAAGGACTTGGAGATGGACTTCCCCTGCCCGCAGTGCCGGGAGGTTTTCCAGCAGAAGAGCTTCAGGCCCAACCGGCAGCTGGCGAACATGGCCGAGATCATCAGCCAGTTCGCCCTCCGGGGGGCCAAGGGGGCCGAGGAGGATGGGCTGTGCGCGAAGCACAGGGAAGCCTTGAAGCTCTACTGCAAGGACGACCGCAGGACCATCTGCGTGGTGTGCGACCGGTCCCGGGAGCACCGGCCTCACGCCGTGGTGCCCGTCGACGAGGCGTCCGAGGAGTACAAGGTAGTTGTCTTGGCTGTCTGTCCGTCCACCCTTCTGGTGTCCGTGTGGTCTTTTCCACCTTCGTTTTGTTGTTTGTCCTCACTCGAGTCCCTGAGATGCCACCTGGATGGGGTCTCCCCCAAGCTCGGTGCTGGGAAATGTTGAACCGTGCGAGGAGCCGGGTGCTGCTTTCTCCCCAAAAATTCAAAGAACTTGGAAAAATCTCCCTTTTTTCTATATACACCCAAACCTCTTGTGTATTTCTGCTCTGCAGAGGGGTGGAAAAACAACTCTTGTGAAAGCTCCAGGCTCGAGCCACGCTGCCAACAGCCCCCGCGGGCACCCACCTCGTTGGCAGAGCAAACACCCACGTCTATTTCGGGTGCGGGCGAGTAGCCAAAGACGTTGCCTGAAGGCAAGGTTGAGTTCATGTCAGGAGCAAAGCTTGCCTAGGTGTGCACGTGGCATGACAGCAGCCCACGTACCCTCCCTTCCCATCCTCTGCCTCCCCTCGGAGGTTTTTTTGTGCTTGCTGCAAGCACACAAGCTTGTGGCTGCCACTGAAGGTTGCAAACGTGGGTGCCCGGCTGCACGTGGGCAGAGCTGAGCTAGCAAATTCCCCCATTGAAAGGTTTTTTTTCTTTTTCTTTTTTTTTCTTTTTCTTTTTTTTCTTTTTTTTCTTTTTTTTTTTTTTTTCTTGCAATCCTGCTTGCTTTTGCATGGCTGGAAGAACAAGTTGTGCGCAGGCAGGATGAGATAGCAAAAATATATATATATATATAGCAGTAATAAGGAAGAGCAACAAAATGGTAATATCTTCTTGCTTTGTTTCCTAGGAGAAAATCCAGGGCCGCTTGGATTTCCTGAAAAAGGAGAGGCAAGAGCTGCTGGAATTTAAAGTGAACGATGATAAGAAAACCCAGGAGCTTTTGGTGCGTGCAGTGCAATGCTCCAGGGTGGTGGGGACGAGGGTCCAGCTTGGGATGCTTGGAGGGTGCTAGGGTATGTTGAACACCCCAATCATGTACAGCCTTGTCTGTGCTTCCAGAGCTGCATTCCTTGGGGTAAATCCTTCCCATTTGCCCCTGGGTTTTGTCTCAGAGGGGATTTTGTCTGCTTGTGATGACGATCCAAGCAGAACCTGGGATTTCGGCAGAGCTCCCAGGCAGGAGATGATGGTGAGGCAGGGACTGGGGGTTATCTGACAGCGTAGATGCCCTCAGAGGGGGAAAAATCCCAATGTGATCAGGTTTTCCTACACAACCCCTTCTCCCAATTTGGGCTGTGGGAGCAGCAGCTGATGACAGGGACTGGGGAAACCTCTTGGCCACCATCAACACTTGGAGAGTGTTGCTTGACTCTCTACTACCCCAGGAGAGAAAAGGAAAGCCCAATTGTTCAGTGCAGAAGGGAAAAACCACCTGAGATCTTCCATGGAGGTGAGAAACCTGCCCCAGGTGTTTGTTTTTTTTAACTCAGTGCTGAACAAAAATAATTTCGTATGGGACAAGGAGATGAAGAGATGCAACTGAGGTCTTGCAGAAGCTGAACGCTGTTGCCTTCGAAGCCTCCATCACTCAGCAATGCAATGTCACATGAGAAAAAAACAAGCCACCTTTTTATTTTTTATTTTTTGTGCTTTTCACTCCTAGAAAACAATAGAGAATGAGCGGCAGAAGCTGCTGGTGGAGTTCGAGGGGCTACGGCAGTTCCTGCACGACCAGGAGCACATCCTCCTGGGGCAGCTGGAGAAGATGGAGAAGAGCATCGCCAAGAGGCAGAACGAGAACATCTCCGACCTCTCCAAGGAGATCACGCTCCTCAACAAGCTCATCACGGAGCTGGAGGAGAAAATCCAACAGCCCATGCTTGAGTTCCTCAAGGTGAGGTATTTGCAATGAAATGAGCGATTCAAGTTTGAGTCTTGACACTTCTATCCCCTTTATTTTAATGTGATTCTGGATCCTGTAGAGGTGGTTTAAGGATAGTTATCCTTTTTAAGGGTGTTTTTTTGTTTGTTTGTTTTTTTGCACCTTTAATGAGCAGATAGTGCATGGCAGTGTCTGAGTGCCCCAGGCTCTGTTAGAACAACAAAACAAATATTTTTGGCTGAGGAACATCTCAAAAAAGAAGTGTGCTTTTCCTTTTTAATATTCTTGGATAAATCTTCCTGCCGTGAATATGTCTGGACCTTTCTATCACCCATAAATTCCAGTTTTGAGCCATGTCACACCTGAATTAGACCTTACATGATGAGCCACCACAGTGGTACTGCCTGGATCCTTAAACATTTTGCAAATCCAGGCTTTGGTGGGTTTTCAAGGCACAAGGTTTTGTGGCTTGCCAAGTCGCAGATGTCCGTTCCTCCAGCTTAACAGAGCTGGCGAGGGCTCAGGATGGAGTCTGTGGGGTGGCACGTGGAGCCCAGCAGGATGCAAATCCTCACCAATTATCACAGCAGAGCCCTGGCTGCAAAAGGTTGGCTGGGACCTGAAAACAGAGAGGGGTTTTCTAGTCAAAATGAGCTCTTACAAACCTGGAAGGCGTGAGGAAAAGAGCAGGTGGAGTCCAGGCATTGGTTGCTTTGCAAAAAAAAACACACCCCAGCCCTCTGTGTTACCTAAATTTTCCTTTCCCAATGATGTGGGGTTGGAAAATCCAACCTAAACTGCCCACCCCAAAACCAGGCAGCCCAAATAGCAAAAGGTTAATGGACGTGCTTTTAATTGCTCATGATTTTGATTAGAGCAGGTATATGGTGTACACACCGATCTGCTTGCTGATTTTCTGTGCAATTTTTTTTTTCTTTTTTAATCAAAACCAGCTTTTCTAGCTCTGCGCTTTCAACCAAATCAACTGTCCCCTTTTCTCCCCTATTTAAAGTCAGATGCATGTCATGTGGTTGCTTAAATGTGTTTTTCTGTATTAAACAGCCTTTGTCAGAGTGGGACATCCGACTCCCAAATATCCTGGGGTGAAATTCCCCCAGTGGGATTAAATTCCCCTCCAAGCACACTGGGGTTAAACTCCCTCCCAGGCAGCATTGAGAGCACTGTAAATATTTGCAGAGCTTGAGCAAGGCTCCAGTACTTGGCTATGGGTGAGAAATTTCACATGGCCTTTGCTCAGCCCCCACCAATGCACATGAAAACGATCCTATAACAATAGGTGATTTTTTATTTTTTTTTCCTAAAAGGTCACGTTGGAAATCCTCAGCCATCCCATTCCCTGGTTATGGCTTTCTGTTGCCTTAGGATTGGGTCTGATGTGCTTGCCACGGTTTATGCCATTTTTTATTTCAGAACAAATATTACTTCAAACATTATTTCAAATATTATTTCAATTTCCAACATTATTTCAAAGTGATCAGAAGGGGCAAATACAGAGGGCTGAGCACGGTTTTCATCCCTGTGAATTTTCTCCGTGCAGCAACTAGGTAGTAAGGATATTTCAACCCTGTAATTTGCCTCCATAATTAACCCTTCTTGAGGGCGAATAATTTCACCCCCGTGGAGTGAATCTGGAGTATCTGTCTCATGATGGGACAAATCAACCCTCGGAGGCTCCCTAAACTCTTCTTGATCATGGAAGATCAGATATCTCCAGATATCAGGGAGAAATGGGTGTGCAGGATGAATGCAGACCTCCAAAGGCAACCTGCCAACCTAAACCACATCACAACTACAGCCAAAAAGTGGAAATATTGTACAATATTGTACAATATTGTACATTTGCAAGGCTGCTTGCTCCTCTCAGAAGCAGACATTTGGGTGGGATTTGGTGGGTCTGTGGTCTTCTGGAGCTGAAAACAAACATTTGGGACGTGGATTTGTTGCAGCCATAAGGGATGGGATGTCCTGGATGGGTTTGATGAAGGGGAATTGCTCGCAATGAGCCATATGGGACATAGCACGGGTTGCACAGGTATTTCACTCCATCTCTCTTTTTCCTTTCTAGGATGTAATGAGCATCATAAGCAGGTATGGAGCATTGCTTCTCCCTTTCTTTCACGTTTTTTTCCCCACCAGCCCTGTTTGAAGGTCACTGCTCGCAGTCCAGATGCCAGAAAGAGGCACCAGGGTAGCCCTGGATCAAGCCTTGGGTCCAGCTTTTTGGAAAAGAGCATCATCACAAATTCTTCTCCTAGCAGAAAGCTTCTTCAAATGTCAAATGAGACCAGAACCCTTGAGGTGATTTATTTCTGATGCGTAATTCACCCCAGGGAAATGCTGTGGGCACCACTTAAGCCCTTAAAGCTGTAGTAGGAGCAGCTGGGTGGGGGTAACGTAGCACTGACCCCCTTTACAACCAGACAAGGGGATTTAACAGGGTGATACGCAAACCCTGATGTCCTCAGCCTGCACAAGGTTCACCTAAATCATTCAGATTTGGGATCTGCCCCTTCTGGCAGCCAGAATTCACCTGCACATGCAATGGAAGAGGAGGAGGTGAGTGCACCAGGGCCAGGATAGACCATGATGGAAATCATTCTCCAGATGTGCCACTAAATTTTCTGCAGTTCCTCCTTGCTAACAAGATTTGGGGTGGGCATTGCACATTGCCAGCTACAAATAAATAAAGAAAAAGGGGGAATAGCAATGTTTTCATTCCTGCTTTCTCTTTTTTCTTTGCAGAAGTGACGATGTGAAGAGCCACAAGCCTGTACCCGTGTGCACGGATATGAAAATGCACGTCTGCAATTTCTCTCTCAAGACCGTCGTCCTTGAGAAAGTCGTAAAGAAATTCAAAGGTACGTGGAAACGAAACCGGGGGGGTTTTAAATAGGCCTGGCCTTTAGGAGAAAGGGCTGAGGAGCGCTGGGGATGCTGCGGATGTCTCGAGGCGCCTTAGCACATGCCTGGCCAGTGGTACCAAAATAGGAGAATAAATTATGTTGGAAGGGGCTTCTGGAGATGTGCAAGGACTGAAGAGCTGCCAGGGTCACAAGTGAAGAAGATAAAGGGTTTATTTCAAAGAGGAACAAAAAGATGAACCTGAGCACAACCATTTTAGGGCAAACAGCCCACGTTTGGCAGCTCCAACAGCCAGGCTCTGCGTTTAGAACCCAGCCCCTTGCAGCAGTGCCGCAAAGCCACGAGATGGTGCTGAGAGGTTTGGAAAGCAAACCGAAGGGCTGGAGAACCAGAAAGGGCAGGTCTGAAAGAAAAATAAATAAATAAAAATAAATAATTAAATAAATAAAAGCAAATTATGCCCGGGAGCAATAATAATAGGCACGGATTGTGCTGGAAGTTCACATGTCATAGTAGCAAAATACCGCAGGGCACATAAAAAATAATAATAAAAGATAATAAAACATTAAAAAAGCCTTTAATAAAATAGGATGTTATTGTGCTCCTTTTTTTTTTTTTTTTTTTTTTTTTTTGGTAAAAATTTAAATCTATTTAGCAGGAATTTCTTCTCTTGCTTTTCCCCATTGCCCAAGCTGGCTTGGAGCTGGGATGCTCCATCCTCAGCCCTTGCTTCTAGCTGAACATAATGTGGGTGTAAATGTCCCTGTAAAGGAGATTTTACATTTTTTTTCCTGTCTCTCTCTACTTTGCCATTTACTGCTTGTCTCTTCTTTTCAGAAAACCTGCGGGATGAACTGGGAAGAGGTGAAAAAGGTAAAAGGCACATGGTTAAGGCATAGCACCCTGGAGCAAAGACTTGAAATTGTGGTTGTAATTTGCAAAGCTGGTTTTGCAAAGCCAAAGAGAGAGTGGAAAAAAAGAGAAAAAGGCACTCTAATTTTTATTTTTTTTTTAATATCTTCTCTTTCAATGATTTTCAGATCCAGCCTGCTCAGTTCAAGAGTCAAAAGCCGATTTTTCTAGCTGACGCCGGGGATCTGACAGCTAAGCTAGGTCCTTTCTACCTCTTTACACTTAACAAAACTACAGTGTGGAACAGACAGAACAGATTTTGAACCCCTCAAAAATAGATTCACGCCCTTTCCAGCCACGACCTGCTTTAATTCTGCTATATTTGCTGTGGCCAGGTTTCAGAGCAAGCTGTGGTTGGGCTTTTATTTCCTTCAGAGTTTGGGATGGAGAAGGTGTGGATGCTCCACTATCTTCTCCAATGCAAAGTCAAATGTTTTAAAGTTCTGCTGAAAGCTGTTGGAATCATGGCTGTGGGCAGATGGCCTCTTTCAGATGGTGTCAGGAGGCAAAATTGCTCACTGGCTCCTTGGGGAGAGTGAAGGAGCAGGTTCATATGAGAAGTTGTGGATTTTCATCCACTCAAACCATCTGATTTGGTCCAGATTGACTCTTTAAATGATGAACCTGGCTGTTTTTTCCCCAAAATGTTACAGGGGGCATCTGTTATTTTGCTGGCGGTGGTGAGGTTGAGAAAAACCAGGAAAACACAGCTATGGGCTCTGCAGCCTTGAGCCCTCTGACTTTGCACTGCGGTGGATGTGGGGCGCACCCTAAAAATCAGCCCCCGTCCTCCAGCTCCCTTGGCCATAACGCAAAGGTCGCATAGCTAGAGTTCTGCCAGCAAAGCCCTCTTGTTGCAGAGAAGGCTTATTCTTGCTTTTAAGGTGGTGTTTTTCAGCATGGGGCTTGCAAACCCCTTGGGGAAGGCAAAAGAGGACGTGGGTTGGATCCTCCCCAAGCACAATCCATCCGAGAGGGGTCAGGTTCTTCTCACAAACCTCCCCGACCACATCCTGAAAAATGCCGAGGGGTTGGCAAAGCAAAAAAGAAGAGAAGTTGGCAATGACTGCTTAAAAGCAACACGGCAGAACAAACCCCACTGCATGTCCGGGGTGGTGTGTGTGCATGTGTAGAGGTAGAACTTGGCTGGTGCAGTTGCACTTTCCCCCTAACTTTTGCGAATGGACACACATTGAAAGCACCTCTCTCATGTTCTGATATAGTGCAGCACACAGGACATGTTATTTTAAAGCCAATCTCCCTTTTTTATTTATTTATTTATTTTTTATTTTATTTTTATTGCTTTGAGGAGGAATCTGCTGCTTGATCTTTGAAGGAAAAAATTAAAAAACCTTCCCATGTTATCACTTTTCCAACCCCTATGAAATGCCACAGAGCTTTCAACCACACCATGGATCTTTCTGGACTTCATATCAAATTTTCAAGCCCAAATTAATGGATCTTGATAGAGCATAAAGGCCTTCAGTTAAAGAAACTCTGGCACAAAATCCACCATGTTTCTGCTCTTAATGTCCCATCTTGGAGGTCCCCATAGCCACATAGGGTCTTGTTCAGACACGGCGACTTTGCTGACTACAACCACAATTTGAGGTCACTAAAGTGCTCACTGTTTCCTTTGAGCCTGATTTTGGAAGGGGAAAAGACATGAGGATCAAAGTTCATCTATATGCATGCTCTGTTTGGGCTGCCTGGATGTGATGAGGTGTGTAAAGGTGCCCTTAGGTCATGGCTTTCTATGGGGATGTGTCATCGTGGGGCAGTTTGGGGACAGATACTCAAAAATTTATCAGATGGGGGGTGCACACAGCCCATCTTGTGTGTTGTACATTAGATGAGCCAGAAGCAAAAAGAAGAAACAAAAATATCGACATCTTTTTTGGAAAAAAAAAAAAAAAAAGGCTTGATCTAAGGTCCATTTTTACTGTATATAATTACTAATAATTTGCATGTGGTTTTACCATGGGTTAGCAACCAATAAGCACTTCCTCAATCCTTCATTTTCGTTTCGTAAATCCTCACTGAGTTACTATCACTGTAACTGCTGTCACCAACAGAGGACCTGACCCTGGACCCCGAATCGGCGAACCACCTCCTCATCCTCTCCGCGGACCTCAAGAGCGTGAGGATGGGCTGTAGGAAGCAGGAGCTGCCCGACAACCCCAAGAGATTCGACACGAACTCGCGGGTCCTGGCCAGCACGGGCTTCAAGTCGGGAAGACATTACTGGGAGGTGGAGGTGGGGGCCTCGGACGGTTGGGCCTTCGGGGTGGCCAGGGAGTCCGTCAGGAGGAAAGGGCTGACGCAGTTTTCCCCCGAAGAAGGGATCTGGGCGGTGCAGCAAAATGGGGGCCGCTACTGGGCGGTCACCTCGCCCCAACGCACGCCGCTGTGCCTCAACCAGAAACTCAACAAGGTCAGGGTGTACCTGGATTACGAAGGGGAAGAAGTGTCCTTCTACAACGCCGACAACATGCAGCACATCTTCACCTTCAACGTCGCCTTCCAGGAGAAGGTGTTCCCCCTCTTTTCGGTTTGTTCCACGGTTACGTACATCAAACTGTGCCCTTGAGGCTCAGGGCCTCTATCCATGGTCAAGGCCTGGTCGGCCGCGATGAGCTCAAGGGACTCTCAAAACAACCACGCAGCCTGGGTCCTCACTATTTGGGGTCTTCAAATCAGCTTAAAACAGAGAATAGATATTAAAAACTAAAGCTATTATAATCAGCAGCCCCCAGAAGTTTGCAGCCACCGTCTTAAACCTATCCTTGAAGCAACCCAACTCCTCAGAGAGAAGGAAACCACCGGTAGCTGGATTGGGGCTCAAAGTTTGATAACAAATGGGCATTTTTATTTTCTTGTGTGGGTCTAAGGATTACTAAGACCCACCCAAGACCAGGGTGGGGAGGTTGTGGAGCAGAACTCGCCTTTGAAAGCATCGTTTCCTCAAAAATGAAATGTTCAGTGGGTAAAGATGCCATGGAAAAGGTGTAGAGAGTGGACAGGACACTTTGGACTTCCATCCAAAACTAGAAAATGGAACACTGCTTTCTTTTTGATCAAGTAACATCAGCTAGAAAGCTCAGCTGGGGGGTTTGCCTCTTTCCCTCTTTCTGGGAAGAAAGGCCCCACAGTAAAGGGCAGGTTACTTATTTTAGGTTCTCCTTCTAAAATTTGGTATAATGCACTCCAAAGCCTGTTTTGTGCTGTCCCAATGGTGGTCTCATCCATCCTGGGTGATCTGAACCATGTGGCCACCAAGATCTGACCTCTCCTGGATGGATACCATGGCCTTTGGGTTGTTCTTTCCATCAGCTTGGGTTTGTGCTCTCTGCTTTGTTTCTCTGACCGTAGCCCTTCTGGGCAGGTAGTGCTGCTATTTTGAAAAAAAGGCCAAAAAAAAAAAAATAAAATAAAATAAAAAGGGCTTTTCTTGTGGAAAAAAAAAAAAAAAAAAAAAGTTAACATTGCTCAGGTGTGTTTGACCTGCAAGACCTGTATTTCTGAATTGTGGTGCTCCTGTGTAGCTGCTCCAGAGCTCCCCTCCCTGCCAGAAAATGCCATTTGCAAAATAACGTGGTAAGGTTACTTTGCTCGTAGCGATGTGGTGCTGGATCTCCTTTATTTCCTCAGTCTCTGTTTACATCTCAGCAAAATCACCCATTTACCTTCACTTTGTTTTTCATGGAAATCTTCACTCTTTGCCAAGACAGAGCAGAAATTGAGTGAATCCACGAGAAAACATCTCTGTGTTATTTCCTCAGTGGAGAGGTGCTTTGGTGCCTTCTTTTTTTATTTTTATTTTTTTTCCTTTTTTTTTTTTTTTTTTTTTTTTTTTTCTTTTTTTCTTTTTTCTTTTTTTTCTTTTTTTTCCTTTTTTTTCCTTTTTTTTCTTTTTTTTTTTTTTTTTTTTTTTTTTTTTTTTTCCCCAGGTATACAGGATTATCTTCCCAATGCATCATTAGAAGCTTTCTCTGTGCACAGCTGAGCCCTCAGCTCTATCCCAGGTAATGGAAATGTGACCAGTGACTACTGGAGATGAAGCACAATCCATTTCCAATGAGGTTCATTAATGCTGGTTAATTTAAGATGCCTTTCCATTAGTCATAAAAAGAGCTGAGGGTGACCAGCCAAGGTGTGACCATCTCATTTTTTTGGCTGGTGAGTTTTTTTTTCCTATCCTGAGGGTCTTTTATTTTTTTATTATTTATTTTTTTTAACGAGTTTGGCTTTAAATCCACATTAGTTAAAACTGCAGCAGCTTTTATGAAGGCCAAGCCTTGAATAGGTGAGCAAAATGCCTGGATTTTCTAAGCTTTGTCCATTGCTGAAACAATGCAGCTGTAGAAGCTGTAAAAATAACAGTAAAAGAGCAATCCCTGGAATAAAAAAAGGTAGTAGCAGCAGACGTGGGATTTGTTTTATTGCAACTCGGTGTTTGTCCTATCTGTACATGAGAAGTGCTGCTTTTCCCTCAAAATGTGCAAAATCCCGTGGGAAGCAAAAACGTTGCATAAATGGATTTGAAAGCTTCCAAGCTGTTCCTAGGCTGTGTGCTACAAATAAAATGTGAAGGTGCTACCCGAGCTCAGCTTCCATTTATTATTCCCAACTGCGAAGGGTCTGGAGAACATCAAAGTCG